GAGGACGCAGAAGAGCAAGGAGGTCGATGTACAGTACTTCTTGACTTGGTACGCCGCCGCTCGAAGGCTGGTGATATAAATAAATATACATCCAGGAAGATATATATATATAAACATATCAGTCTCACCTCGACGGTTGACTTTTTCTTCTTTTCTCTTCTTCTTCTCCTTCTCTTCCCCTTGCGACAGGTCTTGTACTTCTTCTTTCCCTTCCTTCTCCCTCGTCCCCTGTCTCTCCCTTTCTTCTTCCCCCTTCTCTTGCGTCTCGGGGACATCTCGCGATACCACCCCGTCCGCCTCCTCTTCCGCTCCGTCGCAATCCAATCCATAGAGAAAAAGGACCATGGACGAGAAGACAGAGATGGCTCCGGCCTATGACCACGGCCCGCACAAGGCCGTCGACGTCAAGAACGCTGCCTACGGAGAGGCCGCTGACCTCTACGGCGATGCTGAGGCCGCCGAGCGCTACGGCTATGTCGCCAGAGGGTATGCATATCCATCAACTCTGCCTTGGTTGAGCACCAATGCTAACTGACGGATGACAGGCTGAAATCCCGACACATCCAGTTCATCGCTCTCGGTGGAACTATCGGTACTGGTCTCTTCCTGGGTATCGGACGAGCGCTCACCCAGGGCGGTCCGCTCTCGCTGCTGATCGGCTACACCTTTGTCGGTCTCGCGATCTTCGCCATGGTAAGCCTTGACTCGTTCAATTCGTCTGTAGGTGTAGGATCGCCCGGCTGACTGGGAGTAGATGATGTCTCTCGGTGAGATGGCGACCTGGCTGCCGCTGCCCGGTGCCATCCCCCAGTTCTGCGCCAGATACGTCGACGCCTCTGTCGGTTTCGCCGTCGGATGGAATGTAAGTCTCTCTTGTTGCTCTCATTGCTCTCAATGGTATATAATGGAGTCACTAATAACGAGCAGCTGTGGTATCAATGCTCCATCACGCTGTGTGTCGAGATCTCAGCCGCCGCCGTCATCATCCAGTACTGGCCCGGCGCGCAGGACATCAACGTCGCTGCGTGGATCGGCCTGGTCATCGCCATCATCGTCTTCCTCAACGTCTGGGCCGTCTCGGTCTACGGCGAGGCTGAGTTCATCTTCGCCAGCATCAAGATCATCACCATCGTCGGCCTGCTGCTGCTCGCCCTGATCATCGACCTCGGCGGCAGCCCTACCGGCGACCGCATCGGCTTCAGGTACTGGAAGAACCCCGGAGCCATGAACCAGTACTTCGGCACGGGCGACAAGGGCCGCTTCCTGGGCTTCTTCTCGACGCTCGTCAACGCTGCCTTTTCGTTCGGCGGCGTCGAGGCTGTCGCCTGCGCTGCCGGTGAGGCGGAGAACCCGCGCAAGAACATCCCCAAGGCCGTCAAGCGAGTCTTCTGGCGTATCCTCTTCTTCTACGTCCTCGGTGCGCTCTTCCTGGGCATGCTGGTGCCGTACAACGACAAGAACCTGCTCACGGCGCAGAAGAACAACGAGCCCGGTGCGGCTGCCTCCCCCTGGGTCATCGCCATCCGCCGTGCCTCCATCCCCGTCCTGCCGTCCATCATCAACGCCGTCATCCTCACCTCGGCCACCTCGTCTGGAAACGCCTTCTTGTACACCGGCAGCAGATATCTCTACGGCCTCGCCCAGAACCGCCAGGCGCCTCGCTTCCTCCTGCACTGCACCAAGAAGTAGGTCTCA